AGGCTAAACTATGAAAAAAATCAAGATTATGAAAAATCTAGTTTATTTAAAAATTATACTTTTCTAACTACAATAATTTTAAAATACTTGGATTAAAAAAAAAAAAAATCTAATCTTATTAAATATTATTAAATTATTATGACTACTAATTGCTACTTCTAAAGAAATAATTTTATATATAACATCTCCAAAAGACAACAAACAATCATCTATTACTTCTACATATATATGTTTGGTTTTCTTAAATAAAGGTATATTTTATTTTTTTTGACAAAGTTTTTATCTATAAAATAGGCTAACGCTCTTGAATCTAACAAGGCTAAGACTTTGTGATTTTTTTATCTTAAATAAACTTCTATTATAAAATAATGTGAGAGATTTGAGGAGAAAATAGGACCTTTAATAGAGATTATGCAAGATTTTAACTACATGGTCTCTATTGTAGTTGGAATTTTTTTTTTTGATATATCATCCATCTTTAGCAACCATGCTCCTTATTTTGTGATTGTATTGTTTCTTTGGATAATGTTGAGCAATTTTTATATAAATTCTCCACCATATAGATACAAATCTTCTTAATGACAACAAGTATTTTCTTGCTTAGTAAGAAATTTAAAACATACTATGTTAATTTACATAAGCTTTGACTTAGACAAGTAAGCTTTCAAACACTTAGAAGATATTGCTATGCTGTTACTTATGTTTCTCCAATCAAAACTTTATTCCTAGTATCTTTCAAAGAGCCAATTGTTACTTTCAATGATTTGAATAATAAATTATTTTAGTGAATTTTCTCTCAATATTATCAACAATAAATATTTGATATTATCTTTTAATCCATATCAAAATTGATTGATAAGGACTTTGTGATTTCAATCTACATTGTAAGCAAAATTTTAGATTTCAATAGCATATATGATGATTGGACATGATTTTTGTCATAACAGTACAAACTTGATTTATGTTATCTTTTTACAATCACTTTTTCTAAATATAGCTATGAATACTTTCAAGAATGAATTCAAATCATAAAGTAATTATGAATCTCTTTCCATCAAAGATGCAAACCAAAAGAGAGCACTTTTCAATAGAAATGTGCCTACAAATCTAACTTGAGTAAATCCATTGAGTTATTGGAAAAGATGCAATCTTAAATAGAACAATAATCAAGAATTTGAAATAGAAGAAGTCTGAAATTCAAGGTAGTACCAAAATAGGTTAAAGTATCTAATTCATTGAAGCAAATATGATATTAATAAATGTATATTAGAGCCAAAAAAAAATCTTGCAAATGCAAAAATGAAGATTGATGCTTTTCATCAATAACATGCATAAAAGCCAAAAAAATGAATCAAGATGTGATCATTATTTCTCATGGAACTTGTATTTAGAAAAAGAAATAATATTATAGATATAATGGATATTTTTAATTATATAAATAAAAAGAGTTAGATAGAAAAAAAAATAATAATATATTATAGAAAATCTTCTTAAAAGCTTCATAGATGTAATTTTTATTTTATATGTATTTATTGGTGATTAAAAAGTTGAAAACTTAGACAATAAGTTGGCTACATGTTGCACATATTGGCAACTTGTAGTATAAGTTGGTCATGTGGGACACACATAAAAAACTTATTTTACTAGTTTGACATGTGTCTTATAAGTTGGACATGTATTGAAGGTCTTATAGAACATAATCATATAGCTCCTATTTAGAAAATATATATGAAAGCAAGAATGAAGCCTTATTACTCTTATTAATGTCTTTCTTGTTAATGTATTTTTTTATTGTAAACTTACGTCAATAGTCTTTAGTCTTCTTGTCTTTGTAAAAAGCCATTTTATTTTTAATATTGTACCATCTTTGAGTCATTATTTACTCATTCTTAGTAACATAAGAGTATTTTTATTCTTTGGTTTTTTGTGATTCATGTCTTTGACAACATCACATCAAAAACCAAATAGTTTTAAAAGTTTTAAACTTCATTATGTCCTCAAAAAAATTAATTTGATTCCTTAAAAATGCTTGCTAAAGCCTCCAATATCTTAGACTTATAATAAATTTTTCAATGATTGATGTAGTCTAATCTCATGTTCATTTTTCTTGAGGAGGTTTTTCAAAATTTGTACATTATTATTTCTGTTTGTGCTAGATTCTAAAGCTTAAATATAGAGGATATCAATTATTTTATTTATACTTTTTAAAAAATAAAAAACTATGCCATGATGATAATAGATGCTTAGTGATTAGGATTCCATGTGAACTTTTAGTTTGAAAAAAATCCAATTGATAAAAAAAATTAGAATTCACAATTATTTTTCATTTTGAAGAACTCAAATACAATTGACTTTCTTATTTTGAAAAAACATTCTATCTATTCTTATAGTGTGTATAAGTTTTTTAGATTTAATTTAGTAGAATTAAATATGAAGATAAAAAAATAAACCATTAATTGCATCATTATATCTTCAAAGATAGGATTTTTTGCTATAGAACTATTTACCATATCAACTATTTTGACAATATCAGATACATTTTGTTTGTCTTGTTGTAAAAAAAAATTTTTCTTGTGATTGCATGTTAATTTTAGAATATTTTATTATAAGTTAGGCTTTTTTATTTTTTATTTTTTTATTTATTTTATTTATTTTTTAAAAGATTGTTTATTTTATAGATTTTGAACTTTTTTATATTAGATTTTTTTTTAATTATTTCAAATATCTAATATTGTATTAAAAAAAATCTTACATATAATCAAGTAAAAACTCATAAAAATTAATTTAATATTTTAATTTTAAAAATTCTACATCTTCTACGAAATAACTCTAATCACTTCTATAAGACGTGGTTAGATGTTATCAAAATTATAGTCTTTATTTGTAAAAGAAAATATTTCAACCACTTTTGATATAATATTAAAAATAAAAAATATAGATCACTGAAAATCTCTTTGAACCTTGCATTTTCTTTTTTGTAAATTGCTACTATTTCAAATTAAAATTGATTTAGGAACTGATATAAAATTTGGATTCTATTATAAAAAGTTATTTTTCATCTAATAAAAATATCTGGAATTTATATGTAGATATGATTGACTAATTAAATCTAAGCTATTCTAATTTCGACAAATATACTAAAATCTTTATTTCATATATGATTTTTTAAAAAATCGAAATTACAATTAAATATCTATTTTTTAAGAGTTATTGGCAATGTCAATGTAAGCTTATATCTTAAAAATTTCTATCTATTAGATTCTTTTAGATAAAGAGCTTTAATAATTTATTTTTTAAATAAGATTATATATGTATGTTCTTAGTCTATAAGATCACTACCTCCTTCATCTTATAATTTATAATATGTATTATATGACTTAAATTTGAATCAAAGATTACATATTTTTTCATAAAGAGTTTTTACCATATTCCTTATTTTTTTAAAACATCTTCAATGATCCAATCAAAATATAGGAAATTTAATAAATAAATAAATAAATAATATTTTTTATTCTATTGATATTTTTTAAAAAACAATCTAGGTTTGTTCTCTTTGTTATTTAACCTTGCAAATTTCTTATTTAACTTCTTTTTTCTTTTTTATTGTAGATTTTTTAAATTTCTTAATAACAATTTTTTATTATCAACTCAAATAAATAGTTATTATTTTTGTTCTAGACATTGGTCTATTCTACCATGATTTAGATTCTAGCTTTAATCTTAATTATCTTTTTTTATTACCATTTGGTTGATTATTTTTAGTCTATTCTTGCATTTTTTTTAAAAATTCTTCTATATATTTCATCTTCCATTTTTTTTATAATTCTAAATAGAATTTGGCTTTAGTTGATTAAAATTAAAAAAAACTATTTTGTGGAATTTATCCAAAATCTTTATCAATATGAATCACGTAGGAATTTTAATTTCTTCTATTTTCTTTCATAACTTCTATATAGCAACAAGTATGTTGATATCTTTTAAACCTCTTATTGAGACAAAGATGGTGATGGCTCATGGCCCAATACAAGCTTGAACATATGTTGTTGAGAGAAAAAATACATTTTAAGTAAGAACAAGTTGAAGCATCCATGTGTATAGTTGATTAAATTAAATTTAAGATAAAAATAAATAAATAGAGAATTGTTATTGTCAATACACATTTTTTGTTAATGCTACTACATCATGCTACAACACTATGACACCATACTACACCACATTAATTAGGATAAGCAAATAAATTTGTTGAAGGACATTATAGACTAGTGGAGGTGGCCATGTAGCAAAACATAAGTGTGTAAGCTCATAGATGTGATAAGTACATGAGCAATTGCTTCAAGTTCTTATAATAAATATTTGCCATTAAAGTCTTCATCTTTCCCTGTGGGATATTGCTTGGATATTTGTATAATCTGTTACTAATATACTCTAGTTAGTATGATACACGGAGTGGTGCAATATTATTGCAATGATATTGTGGTGTGATAAAATTATGGAGATATTGTTGCATAGTAGTATTAACAAAAAGATGTGACAATTGCAATTCTCTATATATGTGTATATAAATATATATATATATATATATATATAATGACATAGTGCCCACATAGGTGTCACCTATGACATGTTTAGATTAAAGCACTTGTACTACTAAAGTGTACAAGTGAAATGTGCTTTGACCTAAGTTGGGAAAGTAGTTGAAATATTGACGGATAAAATTGGCTTTCTATATGCTGTTTTCTTTCTTCTAAAAATTCCTAGCCATCTGTGTGGCAGGCAGTGAAATCTGGCTCTACACCCATGTCTTAGATGAGACTAGTTTTTCTAGCTCAGCGAAGCTCGATCTTGACGATTTCATCTGCTGAATAGTAAAAACTAGTGGAGACTTGCAAGGGTTGCAATGTGATATTGCATTTTCTCATCTGCTTGTCGACGCAGCATATATTCGACTAAAATGTCTCGGCGCAAATGCACAAAAATCCAATACGCGTTCAGCAAGGGAGTATGGAGAGGAAATTGATTACCAAAATGAGATTCTGTTCATTAGCTGCACTGGTTATCCACAAAAATCTCCAAAAATAGCTCAATCCCCTAATTCTTCTACTTGAGTTGGAGTGTCGATCTATTTTTGTCTGTCTTGTCAGATGCAATCAGTAAAAACCAAATGATGTCTTCAACCATTGCTATACTTCATCGAGGGTGATCTCACCCGAACTAGGAAAAACGCCAACTCAAGTCACGTTGGGATTAGGTTCCCCTTCCCATCATTGTAAAAGTTTCATGGACTAGGAGAATCTTCAAGCCATACCGAGCGTCCACTGTGTCACAGGATGAATCCAAGCTTCTGAGAAGTAACTTCATTGTCCGGGCATGGTGTTGGATCAAGTATATAATGTTCCTAGCACGAAAAACTCACTATGACAGTGAATACGTGGTGTCACAAAATAACTCCACACGGTTTTTTCATAGTTGTTTCAAATCGCCTCTTCTGTACTTCTGCCACTCTTGCTTGTATCGAGATCCCTCCTTCAGCAAAGCGACAAGCACGTGCAGGAGAACTGGGACGAAAAAGGGCTGTACAATTCCAGAACCTTATGTCAGTATCCACAAAACCATCATTGACTTCAATAGAGATTCCAAACTTTACAGCTCCTTTCATCTTCGCAGCAAACCCCACCTAAAATAATTACTGCAAAGAGAAAGATTAGAAGTTTTCGTATGTGGACCGTATAAATGGCGAGCTGATGTTCGGCAGGAAAATAGAGCAGTGACATGATGGACGGCTGGAAGAACGCCGCTTCTGCCCGTGATCTAGCTTTCCTAGCTGCTTCTGCACAACCAATAGTCATTCAAAAATTTCAGAAGTTCTTCAAAAGCAACACTGCAAATGCACAGATTGTTAATGTACTACAACATATAAGGCTCTAGTTTTCGAATTATGCCAGAGAATAAATAATATTAGGTGTGATTTTGCAAAACATGTAACATTTCTAACTTCACCCTCACAAGCTTTGAGACGGATTGCCAGAAATCGCGAAGTCATAATGAAGTTCACTTGTAGGAATCACTTGCAGTGACCAAAAAAAACCAGTCGCCACCAATAGGCAACCTCACCTGCTGCAGCATGATAAGCTCCCACAAGTGATTGACTTTGGGCTGCTTTTGCTTCAGCAAGAGAACTTTGAACCTGTAATAAACGGGCAACAAATGTCAAGATGCCATATGCAACAATTCAGACATTAGCATCAGAAGTCACATCAAATACTCAACGCAATAGGTGTAAAACCCAAGAACAATAATAAAATCAAACTGGAAACCAGCATAATCCTCAGCATTGAACAAATCTCTGGTGTCAACACTCCGTGAAATTTCTCAAAAGCACATTTGTCCTCCAAATATAAAAAGCCTCTCAAAAGAACTTACATGTTCTCCAATTTCATCCTTAATAACCATGTTAGGCAAAGAGCTAACCTGCACACAAGCCAATGACAGACGCCCACTTGATAAATGCCTCAACATTGAAGTCATCTGAATTTGAATACAGCTTACACAAAGCACGATGCTGCTTTACTTTGAAGACTTCGCAACACAAGTAGAATGTTTGAAACCTTCTACTTTCCTACGAACCTACCAAGCGGGAGAGGGACAGTAAGGTAGATGCTGAGGCCTGAATATCCATAGCAGTTCGTCTACGTAGCAGCACATCCACTTCCCTGCACCCACATTTCATGATCTCAGTTAAGCTAACAGCACAGCCACCTGTACGAGTGCCTTAACATATAAATATTACTAGCACAAAAAATAATAATAACAATAATAATAACTAGATACTGGCCACAAGAGCAACATGGCTGGCTGCTTTACATTACAAAAAATACACTGATACACCCATTTGTACCGAAAATTTGCAGACGATTTTCAGGACTGTTTATGATCAAGAGCAATGATACTACCAAGCATACAACATAACAATTTAAGTTACAATAGACAGACAAATAAAATTCTTTGGACGGGTTCAGGGGAACAAACCAGTCAGCAATGCCCGTGACAGCAGCTGGCACCCCATATGTACTCGTCTTCGCGTTTTTCACAAACATGGATGGCAGACCGAAAAGCGCCCGAATCTGGGCAACAATTACTCCTACCACGGGTTCCAGGTCCTGAAAACCACTCGAATCAGTGGGACCATTTTCGAAATAAATTCAAAACACTTAAATGAGAAATTCTAGCAGCAAAAGAGAAACAAACACGTTAAGACTACAAAATAATACTAGTGCCCCGGTCGATTAGATTCATAAACATGTACACGATAGTTTTAAGCAGACTTCTTGATAACTTCTCCTTCTAATCGGCCTGAACGAAGTTGGCTGATACAGCAGATCCGCATAAAAACAAGTCAAGCCTGTGAAATAGCATGAACATTTCTCATTTCAGCAATTACCTTCGAAGAAAGTTTGTAACTCCCAGAATTGTTCGAGACAAGATTACCACAACCTGGAGGATTGTAAACAGTTACTCCACCCCATCCCTGCCACATGCAGCGCACTCATCAGAAACAACTCGTAAAAAGAATCATACTACTCCAACAAAACAAAACTATTGATAAATAAACAAAAAATCAAAACTCAAAAAAACAGAATACATGTTTAATTGCACTGGCATCGCATTACAGCACAAAAATAACAAAAAGGAATTGAATCGTTCAAAGAAATTTGAGTCCCTACCGGAGACGTGAATCCATTAGTGAGTGAAATACGCCCGCTAGACAACTGCATATGCAGAGGACACTCATTGGCTGCTGGCACATAACTGTAAAACCAATAACATTTGATTATTTAGTAAGAGAGGATCTGAAATCACAAGCAAGAACAATACCGTTCAATGGACTTATCATAAATGAATAAATTTCATTGAACAAGAAAAGTCCAATGCATGAGGGCTGGAATTCCAGTTTACATTGCAAAATGTAGGATCTTAGAGCGACCAGTAGCTGCACTAGACGTGTCGAGATGCCACTCGTTTGAATTGACCTGTATCACACCATAAGAAAATAATGATTGAAAATATAAAAGCCATCAATTTATTTATTCTTATCCAAAACTTCCGGTCCGTTGGCAGCCTTCAAATCATCAACCCAACTGACTTGATTGAAAAATGAATGTATGGAATGTGCTTACAAAGAATGGAAGCTGCTTAAATGGCACCAGATGCGCCTTCAAGGCTTCATTCCAATGCGATGAAACTGCCTTTGGAGTATAATATAGCACCTACCAGAACTTTCAATCAACCCTTAAAACATTTTCAACCCAGATATTCAATTCATCTCCAGTAAGATTAATAACAAGAAACAGAGACCAGCACTAACAAGATATCAAAGTTCTAAATCCACCTCATCTATCAAGCCTACCACTTCGAACAACAAGGGAACAATTAAACGAGCAAATTACAGACATTTCGTATACAGTACAACACCAAGATTCTTGCTGCAGAGATGAAACAATAAAGTGGCTAAATACTTTCGCCTATATGGTCAAAAAAGATTCCTGATGCGCGCATCAGTAGAAAGAATGTCAACCTGGCTTTCAACGGAGAAGCGGGCAACAGGCTCCATGACGTCTATAAGTGGTTGCAGATAGCGCTCCTCTACTTCCTCTATATCCCTGAATTACATCACGTTTAACACCTTTATCAAATTCCAACATGGAGAATCTCTCCATGACAACCCCAATTGATATCACAAGTAAAGATTCAGTCCCCAGTAATGTTTCTTGTTACAAGAGCTGAAGTACTTGCCACTGTAACACCGATTAGACCTCACAAATCTTCATAAACCTGATCTCCTAATCAATACTGAGCTTGACTTCTATGAAAACCCAAAAGCTTCAATTTTTCATAACTTACACAAACCGGGGTCACTTCAAACGTTCAGAGGTAAGAACGATAAATGATACAGATCAGTCAATTTTAAAAGTTGAGCAACTCACCAATCATAAATCCAGTCCTCTGGATTTGCATTCAACAGAGTGAAGGATAAAATGGCCTCCCCATCGGCCGAAAGTGGCATGCTCGGCACTTGGTCATCCTCAGCCCGTCCAGCCTTGCTGACTCGACCACCATTCCTGAAGTATATCACTGCAACTTCGGCGATACGCGAAGCAATCCCATCTTCGAAGTCAGGAACTGATAAATCAGCACCGGTCATCCACGCGTGCCTATGCTTTCCCACGACAGTCCTTTCCTTTGCATCTTCACCAGGTTTTCTTTCAACAACTACCAATGTGTAGCGGCCTCCTGCACTTGAGCTTTTGTCCTTGGCAAAGCTCCACAAAAACTCATCCACATAGTCATCGTTCCTGAGATCCACATTGAGAAGATCCGAATTTGCAAGTCCACACGGCCAAGTCCACTCGACATCACTTCCAACGCTGACGCAAGAGTCATCCGCATCCCAAGTGACCCTAATCCCAAAATCATAACCCTGAGCATGTTGTCGAAATGATTCGGCCACTTTCTCCAAAGAAGCCACACTCATCAAACCTTCGTTCCGATGTGGTGCTGCAGAGGTGAATATGATATGCAAATGGCAAGGCAGAGCCAGAGCCAGAGATGAGGAAGCGACAACGGCAGCGTGCTCTTCAATGGCTGAAAAAGGGAGGGGAGCCCGATACACCTCTGTTGATTTCCACCAAAAAGGAACCCCTGCACATGAACACATCTTTGAATTCAATACTACAGCCCCGGCCTTTAAAACCTTGAATTCTCTCATCCGAAAACTCTACCTCATTCAAACACATCAGAATCCTCGAAGTAAATTTCAACGTAATCACACTGTTCGGAAAAAACAATCGCAGATTAGATCGACTACTGCCCACGATGGAATTAGAATGTAGACAATGAACCACCACCAGCACAACGACGACGACGACACAAAATGCGTCATAAACGCCCATTACATTCCGGACGACCTCAATTACTATAATGATGTCACACGACATGGTCTCAATGATCGTTCCGGAAAACCTCCAAACTTGAACCAACCGAAGATAAACACAAAATGAAATTTCATGATTTAAAAAAGTTACAAAAGGATACAAAAAAAATAAACAAACAAATTAAACAACATCTAGGAACATATAAACACGAGCTGCAACACGCTGAAGTTGAAAAATACAATAAACAAAAAAATTAAAATTAAAATCAAAACAACACAACAAGATTCCACCATCAAATCATCATCATCAACAAACGATCGCAGCACGAAGGAGCCAAAATCCGAATCAGAAAGAGAAAGCAACAACAAACAAACCCTACGTACCAAGCAGGAAGAAGAATACGACGGAAAACGTGATAAACAAACGTTTGCGCCCCGGCGGCTTGCTCCGAGTGCTGGCCTCGGCATCGACATCGCCAGACTCGGTGGCGCTCGCGGGGTTCCCCTCGTGCCCACTGCCGTGTGCTTCCGATCCAGAGGTAGCGGCGTCAGCGCAGGGCAGTTCCTCAACCTCGGCCATGACGATGAAGAGATAATGCCCGCACTGCGTCTGCCTCTGCCTGTGCCACTGACGCTGCGCAATGGCTCACACTGCCATCGCCTTCGGAGCCTCGCCCTTCACTATTCCCTCTCTCCTCGTCCTCCTCATCTTCTTCTTCCTCGTCTTCCTCCTCCGAGGATTTCCAGCTCGCATGGTTTCCTGCCACGGCCCGTCTTCCCGAAAAACACACGCCGTGAAACCGTGAGCGCCGCTGAGGAAGGAGAGCCTATTTCCGCATCCTTTAGCTAAAATAGTATTTGAGACAATTAGTTACTGTGCATATTCGTCGTTCAATACCTTTGATAGACAAGGTTTTGCTGAAGGGAGGTAAAATGAAGATAATGTAGGTAAGTAGAAGACGAAGGAAATTCATTTAAAGATTTGGAGCTACAATGAAAATGAAGGGGTGGGGATTGTTAAATGTGAAAATAATAAAATAATAATAAAATGAATGTAGATGGGGATGTATTTCCTCTAAAATGTTGCTGCAATTATATTGAGTGTGTCCGAGAAAACTTGTTATATGAGTTCATGACAAGGCATGTTGCCAATAGTTCAAAGAGCCCTAATGTACAACAAAATTGTCACAATAGCTCCATTGGAGTTTGCTATTTTTAGTAATTATATTTTATTTGACATGTTTTCAATCAGTCTTAAGCAATGGTTGTTTTAGAATAGAGTGTCTATCTTGGACATAATATAGATTAAGAATTTTGTTAAATTTAGTTAGATATTTGATTTAGCAAATGTATGACAAGATTCTTGATGACAGCAAAGGTTTGTTTCTAATCTTAATTGTACCAACAAAAATAAATAAATAAATGGCTTAATAGTTATGTATAAAAATAGAAACAAAATATATATATATATATATATATATATATATTTGATTACAACCCTAAACACATTTATTTGATTGTCGTCATAATGTGTAAAGTAAATTGTGAGATAGTAGGAATATGAGGATGTCTCTATGTGACAATTTTGCCAAGTAGTCTTGGAGATCTCACCTTCAGTTTGTATAGGTGCAAATTTGAAATCCACGACTGTCATTGACAATATTTTACAAATTATGAAGACTTTTTCTAAAATTAATTTTGATAAAGCTAAGAGCCTCTGTTTGCAAAATCAGATTGATATATTTATATTCATGTTTATAAATAACTTTATAAGAACATACTTTATGTTTTTGCAAAGGTTGCTCACAAACATGTACATTATAATCAAAACCAACCCGAATGTTATTTTAAAATTGTATGATCTTTTACCTAAGTAGATTGAAAAGTTAAAATAATCAAGAAATACATAAATAATATAAATATTTATAAATTATTGGTGCTTTGTACTTGTTTTTATTTTAACTTCTAAATGTCTTTAAAAGAAATAATCAAGGTTTATTTTCTCTCATATAAAAAAAACTATTCTTCATAAATTTTTTTAATTTAAATAATTCAAATTAAATTATTTGTTCCATTATTGATTAATTAGGTTTCTTTCATTGTATTGAACTAAATTCTTTTAATATTAGAAAAAAATAAAAGAAATATTTTTAGTATAAAAATTGGATAAGTTTAAAAAAACCACAAATATCTACTTATAAATGTTATATATATATATATATATATATATATATATATATATATATATTCATATGATTATTTTTTTGCAATTTTGCACATTAAAAAATACATATTTTCTGATTTTTTTCTAAAAATAATGAAGTATGTATGTAAGATTCTTAGTTATATTTTTGCATCTGTTTATTAGTATAATTTATAATATTATATGGTATTAACTTATTATTTTTTTTTATTTCATATGATAAGCATTATACAAAGTCCTCTTAAAGCTAAGTAAATCATTCAATGTTTAGTTTACATTCTTTATTTGTGTAGGTTGATATAATGTAGTTTTTATTAAAGATTTATAAGTATCAAGTTAAGATTAGAATAAAAAATAATTCAACATAATTCAAATGTATATATATATATATATATATATATATATATATATATGTGCCACTTAATAAAAACAACTTAATGAAATTATTAAGGAGTTAGGTTTTACTTATACTCCAACCATATGCCACTTTTATTTCTATATTTAGCTTTAAAATTTGTATACTTTTATTTTTTTATCACTAAAAATTAAAATTTTAATATATTAAAATAATAGTTTTAAAAATATAAAATAAGAACTAAATCTTTTATGAATATTTTTGATACTTTATTCTTAAATAACAAGATATCTTATTTAATTATTTTGTATAATTTACTTCATATATTAGAAGACATGTGCCAACTTACATTAACTTTCATTGGATAATCTTGACTTTGTATGTATTTACATTTAAATAAAAAATTAATCTAATAATTTCACAATAACTAATTCAATAAAAAAAATCTTTTCATGCATTTTAATTGAAATTATCACATAAATCAACTTATATGATAAATTATAAATCACTGAATTTTTTTAAGGTTTCTTTTGAATGATATTATAAATTGTGATTTTTATTATCATTAATTATTTCATTTAAATCTATAAAACATTACCTAGCAACATTCCATAAGATCTCTCATATATATCCAATTAGTGAGATACATGTCTTAACTTGCAATATAAGTTTCTTATATGTTTGCTATCTAGTTAGCTTGTATTACAAGCTACTAACAAGTTGTATCAAGGAGAAGAACTCGATGAAAAAATAATCCAGACAAGTGAGCCTTCACTCAAAGAAAGGTAACAAAATATAAATAAATAAGTATGTATATTGAAAGAGAAACTAGAATGGCTATTGCCAAAAGACAAGAAAACTAGAGACCTTTGAAACTAGAGTAGAAGCAAGAAAGGAGTTGACAAGAGTGAAGAAGGCTTCACTCTTGTCTCTATATATACTATCTAACTATGGGCTACGTGGCGACATTCTATAGGACCTCCAATATGTGTTGACTTTGTAGGACACATGCCTTGACTTAAAGGCAAATTTTTCTACATGTGGGCCACATAGTTAGCTTGATCTTCAAGCTAACAACATGTGTAGCACATGGCCAACTTGTTGACCACGTTTCTAATCCAAAAAGTCAATTAAAGACACCTATGAAGTCAAAGCAGCATCTATGAAGCTTCTAGTAAGTTTTCATATTAAATACTATAGAATTAATTTACTTTTACCTACTTTTATTTACTTCTACCTATTTGTATATGTAATTACTAGCTTACATGAATATGTCCGTGACATTACCCCTGCTTCTAGGGACGAGTTCCACGAGGAGCGGTCATCATATGTTGAAAAAATCTATGATGCGACGAATTGTATTTGCCACATACTCTGATCTTTGTTCTCTTTGAAGATGATTGATAGGGCCTCCCAACCATCGGTAGTGTCCCATACCAGGGCGGAAAGACCACCTAGTTATTTGATCATTGTTGAGGCCTTCATAACTTTCTTCGAATAGAACATTTGGAACACCATCAAGAGTTGTTCCTACCTCTAGCAAAATCACCAAAAATTGGGAGTCCATTCCCAAATCGTGATACCAAACGCGTTGTATCTCACCATCTATTTGAGGAAGAACATGTCGTTCTTGAAGATCTTCATCTCGATTGCGTCGTCTAGAAAGTTGTGACAATCGTAATGTCTCGTACGACAGGTCAGCAAATGAAGGCTCTGGAGTCGAATCCACTGGTTGTTAGTTCTCCATCTTCTGAACATCACAACTATAAAGAAGCTATAAATAAGGATTGAAAGTAGAATGTTATCTTGCCTAGATGTTGTTTCTTTTATAAAGAAGGTTTTCATCTTGATTTTGATGGATGTCGTCAATGAAAAGCCTCCACCGCCTTTGTTGCATTTGCAAGATTATTTATTGGCTCCCATGTGCATTCACTAATATCATATCCATGCCAATGGACAAGATATTCCAATTTATTTTGGTGCCGCCTTGAATCTAAGACTTCTACTTCAAACTCTTCATTATTGTCCACTTCTATAGGAGGAGGTGGAGTTTGTCGTCTTCTTGGTATGTCCACTGTCTTGTATGGTTCAAGAAGAGATACGTGGAATACTGGATGGATTTTCATTAACTCCGATAGATGTAAACGATATGCAACTGGATTGATTTATGTAGAAATAGAAAATAGTCCCAGCCTTCGATAGCCCAACTGACCTTTCGATAGACATCCGCATTGACCTTTTCTTGTTCTTGAGCCTCTTTTAACTGCGCCTTCATCATTGCATGTAGCTTTGATAAATGAATCGCTAAATCTTTCACAGCAAGATTATCAACTTTTGAAAAGTCAAAAGTATCAAGTCATGGATGATAACCATAATTAACAAAGAAAGGTGTTTGTTTTATAGAAGAATGTATAGTGTTATTATAAGCAAACTCTGCCAATGGCAAAAGAGTTGTTCAACCATCTTGTTGGTAGTATCACGGATACAAAAATACAGACTCGAGGTCTAACAAGAAGTTCAAGAAGAATTGGCATGAACTAGATTAATCAGATGAATACAAGAACAACACTAGAGAGATGAGCTAGAGCTCCAAGAGATGTGTTGTTGAGACTGAAGAACTCTTCAGCCTTGATTCCAATATATATTCCTATTTAAGAAGCTTCTCAAGCAACTTCTACCAACTAGGAAGCTTCTAGAAGGTTCCAGAGACTTGCTTCTAGAAGGTTCTAGAAACTTATCTCTAGAAGGTTCTAAGGACTGTGTCCCTAATATCTTCTACCAACTAAGAAGCTTCGAGAAGGTTCTAGAGACTTGCTTTTAGAAGGTTCTAGAAACTTGTCTCTAGAAGGTTTGAAGGACTATGTCCCTAACATCACCCCCTCCTTTAGCTTCGAGGTCTCTGAGAAGCAATGTTGTTGTTAATCAGTACCAACGCAAGAAAATGAAGATTTGTCGTATAACGTTCGCTATGAACTCCAACTGTTGTTCACGAGGCAAGCAGTTCATCGGCCCTTGAAGCCAACGATGGTGGCCCACTCCTTCAACTTCTGACCAAGCATAAACTTCCATGTCCTCATTGTGAAATTGTCCTGCAAACACGTCTTCTGCCTCATCATCGTAAGCAAGCTCGGACTCAAATACAATCACTAGTGATCGGTTACTCGGTATCCTCCATCGTCATCGTGGTGTAGATGGTTCTTCATCTCGGGGTC